GGTTGGTGCTGGCTACCCACAAGCCAGTCCTGCGTGCAGGGATGGCCGAGCAAGATAACGGCCTGATTCAAATCCCGTCTCCACCATGGAATAGCTATTCAGCTTGGGGGGTTTGCAGTCCATGTGCTCGTTCATTCATGCTTTCTTTCCATAAATATGTTTCGAACAACTACTCCATACCACCCTAGGGAAAGTGCCAGCAATGCAGCTGTGGGGAAGTCAGACCAATCCCCACGTTGTGGATCTTCTGTACTCGGGAGAAGGCAGACAGAAACCGACCTGAATCTCTCAGACTGATACCCACCTATGAAATGAGTAAGGAGAGACGTTATCTTTATATCACAAGCATCTCCTCAGGCTTAAAAAAAAGCATAACAATAAAATTCTAACATATTATGTAGACAGTTGGGGTACGGAAAGGGGAACATAAATGTATTGAGTTCCTGCTATACGCCAGTAGCTGTGAACTATGTTTTACTGCTCTCATCTTATTCTGTGCAGTTATGCTACGAGCTAAGCTTTATTATGCCATTTTGCAGATGGAAAAATTGAAGTTTGCAAAAGGCAGCAACGGGGTGATTGTATGCAGTCAATAGGGTTGCATCGGGAGCATTCTCCATGCCAGGAACTGACTGCGTTAGATGCTGGGCCCCCCGTGCTGAGGCAGACTCAGGGCATGTTTCCTGTTGCTGTGATCTGGAGGGGAGATGGGCTCTGAGTCCGAAATTACAGGTGGATGAATGGCCTCGAAGAGCAGGGCATTGGGAGCACAGAAAAGGGAAAACTCACTAGTTTGAGGGTGAGGGTTAGGGAGTCTTCTAAGAGGAAGTCACTTTAAAGTCGAGATCTGCTGGAGGAATCGGCACTAGCAAGGCAGCCAGGAGAGGTGTATCGGGTGGAAGTGTGCGGGGGCAGCACGGCCAAGCACGGAGGCCGAAGGGGGGAGGATGCAGGAGAGAGCCTGCGAGGTCTTCAGGCCGTGGGTCCTGCAGGTCACGCGTGTTACAGAGTTTAGACTCTAGAGTAACTGGGAGCCTCTGAAGTAGCTCGAGCAAGAGAGTGACTTGATCGAACGTCAGTTTTAGAAAGATCACTTTGGCTGCTGGATGGAGAAGGGAATGTGGGGAGCAAGATGGGGGACCAATTAGGAGCCTGCGCCTGTTGTTTTGGTGGGAGGTAACGGTGGCATCAGGGATGGGAACAAAGGCCCTCGAGATAGCAAAAAGCAGCGAGCCTTTCTGTGGCCACACGGAAGGGAGGGAGGGATGACGGAGAAATCCAGGACAGGTCCCCAGTGTGTGTCTGAGGACAGGAGTACGTGGTGGTACCATTTTTGACAACCGGAGGAGGCAATGATCAGGGGGAGGGGCAGGTCAGTGGATCCCAGAGATGCTGCCCACAAACCAGCCATGTCGGGGCAGATGGACACCGTGTAAGAAAGGCGTGCAGTAACCTGTAGGAACCGGAGGGGGATGGGACCATCCTTGAGAAGTAGGCTGCTGGGCAGAGACTGCTGGGGGAACGAGAGCAATTAAAAGTGAGCTGAAACCAGGGCAGGAGGAATATAACTGAATGTGGGAGAACCAGAGGGCTAGCTGGCACGTGTCCACCCAGCGGGGCAACGTGATGGCCAAAGAAACCAGGCCCCAGTTTCCATGATTAAACCAACCCTCTCCCAAGCAAGCACCATCATGTCCTCTAAAGAGTCCGATGCTGATGGCCTGAGCACCCTGCTTCTCTTGCCAGGAAGTGTGGCGAGGCCGTCAGGACCCCTCTCCAGAAAGCACAAAGGTTGGCCCACATGAGGGCAGACAGTCAGGACGGCAAGGGGATGTGGTTTTGTGGCTTTCTTCCCACAAAAAAATTACTTTCCCCTTGGAAGGAACTAAGTGTGTGGGATATGGTCTTTGGGTCTCCCATTTCTAGAAGAATCAATCCCAGTTCATACCTTGATCTGGGGCAGTGATGGGCACCTTAAAAGGCAGGCATTTTTCTCCCACTGCCAGCCCGTGTGTCGCGGCGGGAACACCAGATCTAAGCAAACAGCTCTCGGAAGGCTGTCTTCTTTGATATTTTTTCTCTGGGACGTATCAAGCTCCAAGCAGTCTGTTTCTGGTTTTCTCCTCATGAGGACCGTCCAGTTGAGGATGCTGAGAGAGAACGGGGCCCGGTAACCGAGCGCCTCCCATCTCCATTTCTGTTTTCTCATCTCTCCCAACCCATGCCAACGGCTCCCTGCTTGTGGACTTGTCCCTGAGTGACAGCGTCACTCTTTCAAGATGCCAGTGCCTGATTCCATCGGCCATCCAAGGCCTGTGTACATCGGGAAGCCTGTGGAAAATTCCTCAGTCTTATAAAGATACAGATTACCTGCACATCTGGCAGGGTTTAGTTAAACAGGACTAATTTATCTCGAAGTGTGAGATTTCCTTTGCAAGTTGACTCGGCAATTTTCTCTGCTCAGAGAACATTTAGAATAGATGGTGTGCATGGCGATAGAGGAAAACTAGATGCTATTAGTTTTGTACTTTCAAATGTGCACTTGACAGTATCCTATTCCCTTCATTAAAACAGCCTGCATCTCCCCCCTGCACAGAGCTGCGCAGTATCAGAAAAGTGAGCACCTGATCCCCCCGGAGGCCCTGAGCTGGGGCCATAAGCGTGTTAGTGTCACCTGCTCCTGAGGACCAGTCTTAGTAGAGGCACAGTCATGGGTGTCAGGGTATCATGATGAACCTCCAGAAAGTTCGCTAACTTCCCCCAGGGCTGTCCAGTCCGGCGTTCTGTGTGGCAGGAATATCCTGCCTCTGTGCTTTCTGGCATGGATGTCACCTGGATGTCACCAGCCATGTGTGACTTGGAAAGGGGTGGTGCAACTGAGGAATGAAATTTTAATTTTAATTTAATTTTAATAAATTTAAATAGCCATCTATGGCTAATGGCAATTTATGGAATAGTATACCTATCCATTTTTACCAATTTCCTGTGTGGCCGAAATGAGTTTAGTTTTGTTTGTCTTATTGGTTCTCTGAATGCTATGATGCTAGCTCTAAGGTTGCCCATAAATCTTTAATTAAAAATAATTGTAAAAATAATAAAAATCATAGATGGTACATGCTGAGTAGGTACCGTATGCCCTGTATTTTGCTAGGAACTTTACACACACTCTCTGATTATAGTCATATGATGATACTATCATGCTGAGTGCACAGATAAGGAAGTTGAGGTGCTGAGAGGTTACGTGACTTGTCTGAGGTCACCCATCGGTGAGTGGCAAAGCTGGCATTCATTCTAGGCAGTGTGACTCCTGAGCTGTCATACTCTGCTGCCTGTCAAGACTTTCTCAATGCCATTTCCTGGCTGGTGTTTTAAAATACAGTAATGCCTTGGTTGGTAAAAGCAACACAATATCTTGAGGTCATTAACAACTTGGATAGAAACACTGGGCACACGTTCATCCCACGCTTTGCGGAGTTTGCAGTCTGGACCGTAGCAGGGACGAAGGCAGCACACTTATAAAAGCATGTGGCTCAGGTTGCAGAGACCCAGCCTGATCAGGCCACCTCACCTCTTGTATGCAGGGTGGGGAGAGACCTTGCCTGTTCGAGGTCTGGGAAGCTGGGTTCTCCACTAAGCCCTGGACACAGATTATAACAATGAGAAGATCTGTATGGTCTCTGTATTGTTTTCTTCTGGAGAAGATTCACCTTGTCCTTTGCAGGGCAGACACATGGGGACCAATCACCTTAATTCAGTCAGGCCCTGTGCTGATTGAAGGCTGGTTTGGAGTTTTGGCGAGACTATCTAATTCTCTTCCATCGCTGCCCCGGGGCTACCAGTGGACCGCCTGCATTGCCCATTGGGCCCCTCTGTCCTGGCAGGTTCGGCGCCCTAACCCGGGTCTCCTCAACACCATGAGATGTTGAGAACTTGACTCTGCATTGTAACGGCATTTTTGCCTAACTTCTTAGCTGCCTGCTTCTGTGGCTTTAGAATTTGGGAAAAGTGACAGTTGTGAGGTTCAGTTCTTTGTCCCTTTTAACTCATTGGGATTTGGGGCCCTCGGGTCTCTAGTTGTCTCTCCAGATGCTAAAGGCCACCAAATGTATTGCTGGCTTTTCTGTGTCTTTGGTGCCTGGAGCCTTCGCTGGGATTCTGAGTATCCAGATTTAGAGTATGCCCTGAGGGGAAACTGGGAGGCTAGGGAAAGTCAGCTCCCTTCTCTGTACCATCTTCCCTCTCTCAGGATTTCTTCTCTCAAGTCTCGCCTCAGCACTCTAAGAGACCTTCAAATAACTTGTACCCACCTGCCCACCCATCCAGCCATCCGTCTGGACGTTCTTGTTCTCAGGAGGAGTATCCGTCTGCCCAGTGACTCTGTCTTACCGTACAAGATGAGCTGGGTAGTTACGGGTGGGCTGAGATAGAAAGGACTCTTTCATGGAGAAAGCATCCATCCGTCTATAGCGGAAAGTCAAAATGAGTCCATAGGAAACAGAGCAAAATAGGCCAAATCCACAAATCCAAACCTTGGGCTAGAACAAAATTGAGAGTCTGCTATTACTAGGATCTTTTGGTGTCCTAGGCAGCCTCTCCCCAAGGGCATTAGCTATTCCTGGGTGTTAATCTCTTGGCATGAGTTTAGTGGAAAACGTAATCTTCTCTGGCAAAACTGCAATAGTAAGCTTTATGCTGTTAGCAGGAGGAATCCGTGACAACCCTTGGAGGACGCTGCACAACTGTGAGACCATGGCGGCTCGGAGGCCATCCAAATCCAAGTTCTGAACAATTGCTGCTTGCCCTGGAAGTCTGGGCTCTCTCTGTCATACTCTGTACTTGTGATAACAGCACCCTTTGGGGTTTTTTCAGAGTGGGGGTAGGATTATATCGTGGCTGGATAGGGAGGTTTGCTTTGAACATGGCTTTGCTAGGAGCCTTGCCTCACACACTGAGGGCAGAAAGCCACAGACTGATGGATTGTTCTGCTTGCTTTTCTCTAGCCTGCACAGACAAGGAGCTGCGGAACCTTGCTTCCCGGCTGAAAGACTGGTTTGGAGCTCTGCACGAGGATGCTAACAGAGTCATCAAGCCCACCAGCTCTGACACTGCCCAAAGCAGTAAGGCCACTTTACTTTTGCTCATGTATTTCCTTTTAAATGTCATATTTCCTCAGTTATTAGACATTGATTTAGTAATATCAGTTTGGGGTGAAAAAAGAAACACTGTATTAAATGTACACATTGACTTTAAATACGTTTCAGAAATAGTAAAATATGGAGAAGGGAGATGCTTTAGAATCAAGAAAAAAATACAACTTATATTTTTTAAAGCCTGATTTAAATAATATGTTTAATATATAGACATTTTGGGAAATACATTATAGAAAAAATGTCACCATTTTTTTTTTTGCATTTTATTTTATTTTTTTTTATTTCAGCATATTATGGGGTACAGATGTTTAGGTTACGTGAGTTGCCCTTGGTTCCCCTCCCGCCAAGTCCGTGTTTCAAATATGTCCATCATTTTAACAACTATAAGCATGCTGTGGTTATATACCTTGAGGTTTGTCCCTTGTCGTGTAGGAAAGTGTGTGTATTTATTAATTATATACTTTACAGTTTTATGATCTTTTAGAAATATATTATGACTATGTTTCCATGCTGCTGAGTAGTATTCTCTTTGTAATAGCTATAAAGAATCCCAATTACAGATATAACTATTTAATTCAACCTTTTTTGGCTCATTTGGATTGTTGCCAGTGTTTAGCTAATATAGGCAACGCTGTAGCAGATATCTTTGATAACGTCAATAGACTGCATTTTGTTTTCCATAGAAACTCCCAGACGGGTGTCCCCCTCCCCTGTCCATAACATGCGGATTCCTCAAGGAGCCTCCCCCAGCTTCAGCTGCTCAGTTAGCAGAGACCATACTCAGTTTTGTGCTAAGATGAAGAGAAAACTCAGGGTGGGCCCTTGTATTTGCAGTTTCTTGGAGTCTCTTCGATGCTTTTAACTCAAAGGTGGTTAGGGGTGTGAGCGTCTCCACACTGTGGCCAATCAGCACAGATTAGTAAACAACGCAGTGGTTCAAATATACATAGCTTTGCCACTGCCTTTTCTGTGTAGCCATGTTGATATTACTTGGTCAAAATATGAGAACACGTCGTTTAAAACATTGAGCATTTCACCCCGATCCCACATGCGCTTGGGCAGTTTCTGAAAGCGACGCTCCCGATCGAAAGCAGTCGGTGAGAAGTTACGTCGGCGATGGTTGGGTCCAGCCTTTGACTAGCATCTGGTCTTCGGCCAGAATAAAAACAGTCTCCTTAATCTTTGCTATTCTTTGCTGCTCGTAGTTTTCTAGAGATCTCAGTGGAGAAAATCAGTGCAGAGGACAATTATTTTAATAATTTGGATCTTTTACCTTAAGAGAAACACAGTGTTTGCTCCTCAGGGCCTCGGTCCCGAGAGTGGTTCTTGGTCATTGTGTCTGTGAGAATCTTCCCCATCCCTGCAGAGGCTCCTTGGGAGTTTGTGGATAATTAATTCTATGGATGGTTAGAGAAACTTTCTCCTGGATCCTCCGGGAGCAGCCTGGCCCTTGGGCTTTCTGAACAACCTTTCAACAAAGAGCAGACTGATGTGAGGAGAGCTGCTCCGCGCCGTCTCTGGTCCCCTGGGAGTTCTCTGAAAGCCCTGCCCTTGGCCAGAAGCAAACAATTCCCGAGAAGCCTTTTAGGTTTGATACCCTGAAGCAGTGGAGTGAAGGGAATGTAAAGGATGGTGCTTCCTTAGCCCACACGGCCAGAGGAGGGAGCAACATTTTCGTTGGTCCAGGAGACCTGCAGGGGAAGCCCTGGACCCTTGCTGTGTCCTGTCCTCTGAGGCTGACCAGAAGAGCCATTCTGCTCCCCTCTGGGCCCCAGGCAAGCACAGGTGCCAGACACAGGCACCCCTTTTCTAGAAACCTTTCCAGTGGGGATGGGGTGGGTTTGACTTTTTGACCACTAAGTAACCAGCTTTGCATTTCTTTTCGGTGACCGGCCAGCAGTAAATTCCTCTTTCCTATGTATTAAAATGTCAGTATTCTATAAAATTGATGCACATTATATAAAATATGCTACCTAAAAGTGTGGAACCGTGCAGTATCAGGGTAAATTACGTTCCTTTAAAATGTCAATATCCTATAAAATTGATGCATGGTATGTAAAGCATTCTCTGCAAAAGTGTGGATCCATGTAGTGCCAGAGTGAATTATCGGTCCTTACTCAGCAGTGCCTGAGCACATCATCTCAGAGACTATTGACAATCATGATGTTCCATCTAAGAAGGGGCCACATTATGTCCCATAGCCTTTGTTCTGGAAAAAGGGGGATATTTTTAAGATGTGCTCTAAGATATAGAAATACATTTAAAAATGGAAATATTTTGTTTAAAAGGGTAAACTCTACGGAAAACTTCTGCCAACACATATTTTCTAGGTGCCTCTTACATGCCCATCAGGCTGAGGCTTCTGAAGGGGCCAAGACAGTCTGTGCCCTCAGGGAACTTATCGTCCAATTAGTAAGCATTGACAAGGAAGGAAGCACAGGGTTCTGTGAGAGCTGGGAGGAGGAGGTGCTGAACTTACTTTACTGACTTCTGGACAGTGAAGACCTAAGACCTTTCTATAAAGACACTGCTTTTAAAAGGGTGGATGCACTTTGCTGCATCTTATATGCCACTGACTAAACGGGAGTTCCAGGTGACACCCTCAGGGACCCAGTGACTGGGCTGTGGGTAGGAATCGACCCCTCAGACCGTCCACTGTAGCCACTGCCCATCTGCAAATATGGACCCTACGCCAAGTGGTTAGCCTCAGGGCAGCAAGGTCAAGGAAGGTGGAAGGCAGCCCTGGGAGAGGAGACTTTGAAAATCTAGACTCAGGATTGGGCTGCCTGGGTCTGAATCCCAGATCTACAGTTGTAGGACCTTGAGCAAGTAACTCGAGTCTTATTTCTTCGTCTGTAAAGTGGAGATGATATGGCACCATCTCATAGGACTGTTTACAAGGCTTCACTGAGATAAGTATAAAGTCCTTAGGAAGGTGTTCTGTATATAGCAACACAAGTTAACTTTTATTATCAGTATTCCAGGAACATAAAGCCAGTCCTAGAAAACCAGCTTATGCAATAACTTGAGATTGCGTGGTGCCCTGGGCTCTGAGAGAAAGACGAGTTTAGATTTGGGGCCTGCCTGCGCCGGGTCTGTCTCCGGTGGACTCTCTATCCCTAGCGTCCAGCCCAGTGCGTACAGTTTCCATTGTGGAAACAAATAACTCTTCACAAAACCTACTCCTCCCCCAGGGAAATAAGAAAGAAATTATTGTCTGAGTTGATTTGGATTCCATCTCATGTATCTCTTTAGGGGATTTCAGAAAAGAAGAATGGGGAACAGAGGCAGGTACCTGGCGTGTTTTGCCATTACTGTTCAGACAGCTTGGATATAATGGTCCTCTGGGACATAATCAGTGCTTCTGGATTATGCTGCGCTGTTTCATTTCACTGCTACTCTTTTTAAAAGATTTAGTTGGGTTTTTCAGATTTTTTTCCCTAGATATGAAAGCATAGTTTTTAGTATTCTAAGTTTTACCTCTCAGTCACCGTGTTTATATTCTTCCTTTCAGGCACACCTCGTTTTAAGCAAGTTCAGTAAACGAAAAGCCATATTTACATCCCAGATAAATTAACATTGGGGATTTGTTCCCTTTAGAACATATTTTACTCAAATGCCGGCTTCTGTTTTAGTGCATTTTAAACTGTTTCATTTGAAAAACAACAAACACAAAATATTCCAGAGTTATCACTGGAACTATATTCTGGGAAGGAAACAGCCTGTGGGGAGGAGCTGGAAGCTGGGGAAGGACCAGGCTTGGTGGCAGCTGAGAGGCACCTTCCTTCCCTTGCAGGGTTTGACACCAGCATCCTGCCCATCTGCAAGGACTCCCTGGGCTGGATGTTCAACAAGCTGGACATGAACTACGACCTCCTGCTTGACCACTCAGAGATCAATGCCGTCTACCTGGATAAGTACGAGCCCTGTATCAAGCCTCTCTTCAACTCCTGCGACTCTTTTAAGGATGGGAAGCTCTCTAACAACGAGTGGTGCTACTGCTTCCAAAAGCCTGGAGGTAAGGCCGCAGGGATGGGTGGGGTCCAGAGCCCGGATATCCATGCTGAAAGACACATGTAGGTAGAGAATACAGAATTCATGCCATTTAATGGCAAGCCCCATGGCCCATTTCTCCTAATTTAGTTTTACTTTGAACGTGGTATATTAGAAAACCTGAGAGTATAATCAAGGAGTCTGTTATTTCAGTCTGTTCCTCCATGATTCCCAAGGTCATTGTGAGACTCTCAATGTGAAAAATACCGTAAAAGTATCTTAGTTCCCATTATCACATGAATTTTCCATGTTTCTCTCAGAGAAAGCCATTTGTCAGCTTTCTCTAGGATAAGTATAGATGTATACTAAGTGTCCTAGACAAGGATATTTTGGTCATAAAGAAACTTCAGTTAATGAAAGAAACAAGATTCAGGGAATAGATGAAAGGAGACCAGGGTATCTCATGTAACCCAAAGTCAGGCAGGAGAGTCATCCATAGGGGGATTCAGACAGGAAGATGCTCTCCCTTCCTGTGGGGCATGCCCAGGTGTGGCAGCCACAGGTAATGGGACCAGCAGAGACTGGCCTGTATCTTTATCCCAAGCTCCAGCATGAGCCAGGTATTTGGGACAACATACTACAGGTGTGGCTGCTAATATTATTTGGATTGTATATATGCATAGACAATGCACATATACAACAAGAACTGTAGGCATTACAAGAGCACATTCAGTGAAAAGTGTGTACATGTGTGTGTATTTATAGAATTATGAGATCCATTCCTAGAAGCAGAACTACCAAAGGGCATGTGCCTTTTTAAATTTGAGCAATATTTCCAATTTAACATCTAAAGAGGTTCTACCAATTTACTCTCACCAAAAATAAGATTACCTATTTCTTCCTGGCATTACCAAACTTTGTGATCATTACATCTCCTTCTAGGCTCTATTTTATTAATATTTCTCATTAGGTATATCTTGAATTTCCTTTTCCTTGATATGTTCTTTGTACATTTTTTTTCTATTAGGCTCTTGTGGGTTTTTTTTTTTTTTTTTTTTAGTAGGAAACTGTATATTAAAGAAATTGAAGCTTTTCTAGCTGGAGGTATTACAAATTTTTTTTCCAAATTCGACTTTGTGATTTTAGCTAGGGAGAAATTTAAAATTCTAAGACAGTTGAATTTCTCCATCTTTTATTTTATGGCTTCTAAGATGCCATAAAGCCTACATTAAGCTTAGAAAGGTATTTCTCACTTGAAGATAGTAAAACAATTCTGTTGTCTTTAATACTTCTTGTTATAGAAATCCTGTGTCACTCTAGATTGCGTGTCTGTTATAGTCAGGTGGGTCCCTGCCCCAGAGATGGCACCCAGTCTTCCTTCTCTCTGTTTTGACTAACCCACTTTTCTCCCTTTGATTTGAAACACAGCTTCCATTTTATGTATATGGTATATATAAACCCCTATATGTGCTTATATCTATTTCTGAACACTTTAAAACTGACTTATGTGATTTCTTTTCCTCTATGAACTTTGGAATAAGTTTAAACAAAAAGTCTGATTTTTTTCTTTCATATCAGCCAAATTAATCAGGTGGGAATAGAAAGCTGTATAATACTGAATCCTTTTAGCTTAGAACAGGATCTGTGTGTCAACCAGTGGAGTTTACATTTTACTCTCACAGATGTTGTACTTGTGTTTGTAACTGTACTCCCTCATTGGTGGCCGTTTCAACATTAATTCTGCTCCCAGTCACCTTTCCAATTCCAAATTCTCATTTTGCTTATAAGTTATCCTGGTTGGTTTGCTTGGACTTTTTAGGTGTGTAATCATAGCTATAAGTAATAATTCTCTTCATTTTCGTCTGGGTTCCTTAGAACATAAAGCCTGTGTGTTAATGTTTCCCCTGGACATACAGTGCCAGGCCTGAGAGTGAGAGTATGTAGTCCCTTAACCAAGAGTCAGAGCTGGTCACCTGGGACATCTGTGGCACAGCATCCAGGACTGTCATAACTGCTACCTTTTATAATGCAGATGGGATTTGTTTCTCCTTTTGGTATCATTCCCCTTTATTCTGAAAGCATCTTAAGGAGTCAACAAAATGAATTTTACGAGTTTCTGTCACAAGCAGCAGGACCAGGTGACATAGATGTAAACAGGTCCTTAGATACTTCATATGCAAGTGTGGGGCTCGAAGAAAGAGGCAGTATAAGCCACAGGTAAGAATCAAAAAACACCTCTGCCAGGACCATGAGCAAATAGCAGAACCTCCTGGAGCCACAAGATCTGAAAAGGCAAGTCATGATGGAACTCTGTAGAACTAGTGAGGTTGCTTTTCATTTTGCTGCGAGTGGAAGTAAGTTCTTCTCTAGGGAGGTGAACATGTGCCCTGTGCTTCTGCCCCACTTGGCTCCTGCCCTGTCTTTGGGTTCCTGCTGGTTTGTGTTTGTAAAACTGAGGCCTTGTAAAGAGACTTGCCTGCAGTATTCAGCTAGGAAGTGGCAGAACCTAGATCTAAAGTCCCATCCATAACTGCTACCTCTCGCTGGTTGTCCCTTGGGGCCTGTGTTTCGCTTTCCTTTGGTAATAAGCCATGAGGTCTGCAGTAGCCATTCTAATCCTCTTTCTCTCCTGCAGCAAGACCTGGGGTAGGTATTTGGCATCTCTGGTTAGTGGATTCAGGACACTTCCCCTCTGATAAGCCTTAGCCCTAGTTTCCAGCTCACAGAAACCTTAGACACCTGGTTTTTGCTTGAGTTGGTGGTACGTGAGAAAAATTACTGCACAATGTGAGTATACCTTAAATACTATTTTAAGTACTTCATGGTATGAGTTTTTGTTCTTTAATTAGTAACACTAATGGTCTGGATTTGTTTTGCTGTGTTGTAACAGCACATGGAAAGTTCCACTCCCAGGTGTGTCATTGTCTACATTTCATGTCAAGAGTGAAGTCAATCATTAGACATTATATCCCATACCATCTGGAAACTGGCTTTCATAAATTATTTTTTTTAGGGCTCCCTTGCCAGAATGAAATGAACAGAATTCAGAAGCTGAGCAAGGGAAAAAGCCTACTGGGTAAGTACAATTTCTTGCCACTTGTTTAAACAACTAATTAAACCATCTGCACCTCTTCAGCACAGCGCTGGTTATTCAATTAGGGCTAGTGTCTCATGAAAGAAATGCCTCCTTTTACCCCAGGCAGAGCTCTCCCCAGCAGCCGGCCATGAGTGGAGGAGTGGCTGGGAACACTGCAGGCTCCAGTAAACCTTTCTCTTTGTTCAAAGGAGGTTATTGCATGGAGCTGTCTAAATAATAGCAGTTTCTCTATTCCCTGATCAAGGTGTCCATTCAAGGAGGAAGGTGAGCTGTATTCCCTTCACAGTTTAAAGGACTTGTGGGCTCTTAAGCATATTTCTTCTGCTTTCACCTAGTCCCTAGAGGGAAGCACTCAGGTTGTGTAGAGAGCACAGAAGCAAGGGGGTTATGTGTGTCCTCTTTAGCTCCAAGCTCTCCTTCTGAGGACTTCATGGCATTCAGATGGGCCATCACCAAGATGTTGGTAATCCTCACTTGTTTGAAGAAAGGAGTCTGCTTTGCTTTTCTTGCTTTTTAAAAAGGGCTGACAGCTGCAATGTAGTAATTCAGAATTATTCCTGATAAGCATTCAGAGGCAGGTGTATCCTGCCATTTCAGAAGTTTATGCACTTACTTGGAGGAAATGGGCATGTTTTCTTGCAGGTTCTCCTCCTTTCCTGGTGTGCCTCATACTTTTGATAACATCCCATTCAACAAAGTCATCTTGACTTTGAACTCTCTTGGCCTAGGTTCTTCTCCTGTGCAAAAAGACAAAGTGGCTGCATCCCTCTTCTAGAGGTTTTTCTAGCTCAAGGACTTGTGCTTAAGTAGTTGTGAAATTAGCATATTGCTATTTTTAAAAACATTGTTTTCATGGGCTATAGGTATCCTGCTAGTGCCTCATTAATAGTTAATGAGACAAATGCCTACCTCTGTCCTACCAGGAACCCCACCTTGTTTTAAAGCTTGCTTTAGCACATATGGAGATTATTCTGGCTAACTCAGAAAAAAAAAATGCCATTTATTTACTTACAAATTCTTTTTTGCATGAGAAAAATCTCCTAATATAATAGCTATGTACTCAGGGGCATACAGATTGAAATAAATAAAACAAGCAACGACAAATTACTGCCTAGTTAGAAAAGTGGTAATCCTATTACATTATACATTTGGATCAGCACCTGCTTCTTACCAACCTGTCAGCTCAGGGAGAAGGATCAGCACTTCCCCA